AGAATGAGCTGAGATAGAATCCTTCGTCGACGAGTCCTCGAGTCGAATGGGCGATAGGGCCGCTGAAGAGGTAGCGTGTATAGTAGCGCGTAGCTTACTATGCTTACTTCAACCTGTAAACAGAGCTAATCTTGTCCACTTAGAACGGCGTTAGATCACACTTAGACGCTGAGAGCGCGGGTACGTTGGATGGTAAAAAGGCTGAATTACGAGGCTCCCAGAGCCTGTCCTTATATACATCTCGAGATACAAGCACTAGAGGCTTCTACACAAGTTGAGAGATCAGACAGAAAGGTCACAGAAAGGTCGAACAAGAAGGAGAAAGGACGAGAGGGATGAAGGAATCAAATAGAACGTACTCGAAACAAGTCGAAGTGACCGTACATATCGAGACTAAGCTAACCTAGTGTCTATCGTAACGTAATCCACAACATACGCCCCCCAGTCTCGATACGTACCTGCTCCAATCAGTGGTCGCGGTCCAAGTTGGAGATTGGGAAACTCGGCGGCGGCACCAGAGCGTCGAACCAGATCGGTGCGAGCGAGCGAGGACCGTCAGCATATCCGGATAGAATAGGCGAAATAGGAAGCAGAAGTTTCGAACATGCAGGCCGCGCGGACGAAGGCGAAAGTGTAGGTGTGCGGTAGCGCTTGCGCAAATTCTGGGCACCGGGCCCGAAGATGAGAAGAGGAACAGTGGGGTCGTGCAGGTCGAGGAAGAGGAATCGAGATATGATCGCGTTGTGGGTGCTTGGCCATACGGTGATGGACGAATGGCTTAGCTTCAAGCCGGACGTTCAGGGAGGAGGTTCTCCATCTCGAGTAGATCATCTTCGTGTAGCTTAATGGCTTGCTGGAGCTCCGAAGTAGTTCGATAGATGCGGGGGGTGAGAATCGTGTTCCAAACTCGCGGGGCGCCTGCCATGATGTCGGAAATGAGCTCGCTTTCGGAATTCTCGTATGCAAGTTCGAGCAATTCACGCTTACGGATGAAATACTGACTCGGGAGTTCGCGTGGGCACGCACTGTCCCTGTATCGTATGGCGAGGGCTTGCTTCCTGGTCTTCTCCATCCACGACCTGTTCATGAAGTAGTCGCCGATCTGATTGCGGATATATTCCCAGTCCTGTTCGCACGCTTCACGTACATGCTCTGGGAGGGAAAAGTACCATATCTCAGCGTCGCCTGTCAACCTTTGAGGTACTACCATACCTAGTTGCTGACGGATAGTGGCCGACTTCTTAGCTATGGAGTTAACGCGAATGATCCATCGCGCAAGCGTGGCGGTATCGCCGTCCCATGTCGGTACAACGTCCATCTTGAGCTTGAAATCAAAATGAGCTTCGAATGTTCGACGAGTGGACGCGAGAGGGACTGACACCTTGCGGGGCTCCCGCGATCGCGCGCGACGGCGTTGCGGAGGTTGATGTCTGCGGGCAGTAGAGTCGCTCTCTTCGTCGCTGCTTGAATCGCTTGGATCAGGATCGCCACCAGCGGCGCGTCGGTGCCTGGTGTCTCGCGTTTCGTGCGGTGACCCGCGTGGTGCTTCGTGTCGCTCATCCTGTGAGTTGCGTCGCAATCGCCTTGGTGGGTCGCGTTCATAGCCAGAGCCGTCGTAGTGTCGCCGCCCGTGATCGTCAAGGTCCTGTTCTGCGGTCTTCGTCAGTTTGAACAATCGCTTGAATCCGGCTGACCCTTGAGGGGCTGGAGTTGGGCTTGCGCGCTGCAAGTGGCTCGAGCGGTTGCTGATGCGATCATGTACACTCGGAGGGAGTGGAGTCTGGACGGTGCGATACATCTGCACGCGCTGATCCTCTCTCGCAGAGGAATGACGTTCTCCGGAAGGCGAGCGAGCGCGATGACGCCAAGCGCGTGCATCCTTGGCCGTGCGTTCCTCGGGGAGCGGCGGAAAGCTTTGGCTTGTGATTTCCTGCTTCAACGAGGTCGGGAGAGGCGGCGGCGATGGCCTGTCCTTGAAGGATGTCCGGAATGGGTCCGGAGGGATACTAGGTACGATTGCGGCATGGTCTTCTTCGCTCTGTGGAGGGTCCCGCTCTGTCTTGAAGTCACAGAGTGTGGTCAGCTGAGCCAGGAAAGATTCCACCTGGCGCCTGAAGCATGCACCTAAGATCTCGAAGTCGTTCGCACAAAATGCGTACCTTATATACTCAAGACCCTTTCCCCACCTTGGGAGAGGCGGAAGAAGACGCTTTTGATCTCGAAAGATGGGTTTTGCTGAGGCGAGGCGGTTTTCTAACATATGCATGAGCCGATCATGATCTTCTTCGTCGATGAAGAAAGCTGGCTCCTCTGTCGTGCCATCCTTCCATACATACCCAACGACTTGATCTAGGAGTTGCAACTCCTGCTTGAAAGTGATACACTCCGACCTGCTCAACGTGAGAAGATTAGGAAGGTGCAAAATGTCTCGGTCGGGTCCGAGATGCTGGTACCCGTACGCACAGGCATCCTTCAGGCGCTCGCGCAAAATCGGGTCACCTTTGAACTTGTAGCTGGCGGTTGCGCAGAGAGGAAATAGACCGGCGGTTGGTCCACGCACCACGCGGTCGTCGTCCTCTTCAACCTCGGGCAATGGTCGAAACTGGTCACTGAGGATGCAGTGCAGCTTCGAGATGTCTTCGCGATTGCCGTCCAATCGACGGGAGCGATTCTTGCGAAAGGCTTTGCCCGGGGTCCTCGGAGTAGACGGCTGAGCTTGCGCGTCGTCACGATGGTCAGATGAACCTCCTTGGGTGTTCGCTGCTGCGCTCTGCTGAGCGACGGAGAAAGACATAACTTGATAATTAGCTGGAATGAGACTGGTCGAATCGAGGGATTTCCCAGTGCGTCCACCAGTGTTGTAGATACGGTCTTACGAAATGAGAATGAGCTGAGATAGAATCCTTCGTCGACGAGTCCTCGAGTCGAATGGGCGATAGGGCCGCTGAAGAGGTAGCGTGTATAGTAGCGCGTAGCTTACTATGCTTACTTCAACCTGTAAACAGAGCTAATCTTGTCCACTTAGAACGGCGTTAGATCACACTTAGACGCTGAGAGCGCGGGTACGTTGGATGGTAAAAAGGCTGAATTACGAGGCTCCCAGAGCCTGTCCTTATATACATCTCGAGATACAAGCACTAGAGGCTTCTACACAAGTTGAGAGATCAGACAGAAAGGTCACAGAAAGGTCGAACAAGAAGGAGAAAGGACGAGAGGGATGAAGGAATCAAATAGAACGTACTCGAAACAAGTCGAAGTGACCGTA